ACAGAGGAGGCGTTTTTGTGGGAAAACGCCTGCTCGGGTATACGCCGTGCACCTGTCTGTGGATAGAAGTCGCACTCGCATTTGAAAGTTGCCATTTGAAATTGAAAGTGAAAGCCATTTTCCTGAAGAAGGTGTTAGTATCGTGATTGTGTTGCATTGTACTGTTACTCTTTTTTCACTTCCCCATGAACTGCTCTACACTTTGTTCTCCTTGGGATTTCAGGAATGTTCGATCATCGAAGACAGACCATTTTTGCACTACGCTGTAACAAAATTTTTGGCTATTGTAATCTTGATCTATGCTGTCGAGCAAAAGCGCCGTCCGTGTATTAAGGATAATAATGGCTGAAGTGAGACTTATAATGCTCTGCATGCTCTAATGCTCCCATGGAGCTCTTGTCTGTGTGACTCTCCGACAGCTGCACGGTGCAGAGCTCCTGGAGAACATTAGAGCGTGAAAGTGCACTGCCCGGACACTGCACTTTTCAAGCCGTCTTGCAGCCCGTCTGTATACGACCCCCTCCCTTTCGTTCGGCTGAATACGACCCCCTCGTTGTTCTTTGCGCAACGTAGGGTTGACCCTGGTTGGATGTCGACGAGTGTGATAAAACTTCCTTATGCTTTTAAGCACTTATTATGTCAATTTTTGTTTTTGGCTTTATTCCACGCTGTTTTCAATGTTCAGGTGAAGAAAACCTTCTATTGTGCGTCCACTTAACATACGAGTGATATAAACCACGTTGAAGGTGTGAAAACTCCGATTTCTGAAGAAATTTTTTCACTCCTTTTTTGGCATTCAGAGGGCCGCTCAGAAAAAATGGAGCCTAGTTTTGTACTCCATGCATGTGCCCCTTTATCATGCAAAAAACCGTTTTCAAAAAGGGCTCCATGTCCTGAAAGACCTTCCTGGTAAGGTCAACGCCAATGATCATTCAACACACAGCTGGTTAACCCATTGCCGACCGTCGTTATAATTGCACCTCCGTAGGTTTTTGTCATCTGTTTAATCAGTGGCCGAATGACCTATCAAAAATTTAACCAGTAAGTGATATCCTGTGTCCAAAAAAGTAAACTGATGAGTTTGTAACTTAACAAAATGCTGAAAAAATCGAAGATTACTGTCCTTCTCCGCGTGGTGGCGTGCTGCACCATGTGCAGCACGCGGTCCGCAATGGGTTAATGTAGTTACAGCAAGGCTTTTGTCAGGCAAAATGTGGACGTGTAGATTGAGAGCATGCTCTGTGTAGGATTAAGATTTGGCAAGCCTTATAGAAGGAAATAAATAAAGAAGAGATGCTGTCTAGTATGCCACCTTAGTGATTAGTTTGTGGTTTTTAGCTCCGTTTGATGATATGTTCATAGTTAATTGTTGCTTCTTGAGTCCTTCCAATTGTTGAACGCATTCTATGGTAGAGGGTGGGATAGCCAGTTTTTTTCGATGAAAGGTTTGAGGGAAGGTTAGACAACGTTTTCATACTTCGCCTTGTGAGGGGAGTCGCTTAAAGGACTTCGGCGCTGGGAAGCGGGCAGGGTCAACCCTACGTTGCGCAAAGAACAACGAGGGGGTCGCATTTGGCCGAACGAAAGGGGGGGTCGCATACAGAGGGACCAGGGGTGAAAGGCTGGGAGGAATGGTCCCAAAAGACACGAAGTTACCATAAACTCAATAGTAATCATATTTCAGGCTTGGCTGTTTCGTACCGATCTCCCTGCATGAATTACTACATCGTGAAAAAATCTTTCTGTCTTCAGCACACTTCTATTTAGACCTAGCTTAATTATGAAAAAAGGTGGTATAGGTGCCAAACTTAGCAAGTCACCAATTTCCAGCGTATCGATTGAAATTCAACTGTGTAGAGCAGTTCATGGGAAAGTAAAACAACCATCAAACCATAAAACACACAATGGTACCGCAAAACATACAATGCAATTCGATCATGTACTATCACCTTCTTCGGGAAAGTGGAGGACCTTCAAATGCGAGTGCGACTTCCACCCACAGACAGGTGCACGGCGTATACCCGAGCAGGCGTTTTCCCATAAAAACGCCTTCTCTGTGAGCGGCCGTAAGCAGACAAACTTCCTCAAGAAAATTTTGATGCTTTTAAATCAAATCTAAGCGGAACAAAATGTAGCGAACTTGCTGAATTGAATTTCAAAGACCCCCATTATGAAATTGAAGCGACGGGACGGGGCTGCACAGCGGCGACAAGAGCAGTGGTCGGACGTGCACACTTTCCACGCCGTAAGTCTCAGCTCAATAAGCTCTACTCGTGCAGGCTGTCGCTACAGCTCGCACAGAGCAAGAAGCCTCGGCATGGGATTTAAGAGCATGACGTTATTATAAAGTTGAGACATTCACTTCATCCATTATTATCATTGATACACGGACGACGTTTTTGCTCGACAGCATTGATCAAGATCACAATAGCCAAAAATTTTGTTAGAACGTAGTGCAAAAACATGGTCTGTCTTCGATGATCGAACATTCCTGAAATCCCAAGGAGAAACAAAGTGTAGAGCAGTTCATGGGGAAGTGAAAAAAAGGTGGACGGATAGTAGAATAGTCATAGACCAGTAACAACAATGCAAAACAGGCATAATTCAGACTGACCCCTAAAACGGGCACCCTTACCTTCAGGAAAATGGCTTTCACTTACCAGTTTCAACATTCGCAACCTCTTCAAAATCGTCGTGGCACGCACTATTATATCCACAGACTAGTGCACGTGTAGCCTCCAGAGCAAGGCCGTCACCTTTACACCCACCAAGAACGGCCTTCACTGTCAGGGGCCTGTAGCGCAGAAGCAAACTTCCTCAAGAAAATTTTGATGCTTTTAAATCAAATCTAAGCGGAACAAAGTGTAGCGAACTTGCTGAATTGAATTTCAAAGACCCCTTAGAAATTGAAGCAGAAGAAAGAATTTCAGAAAATTAACACTAGTTATAAAGTACTCTTCGCGTAGATTCTAACGGTCTTTACCGCTTCTCATCACATGAATTTGAAGGAAGTTATGGGCCTTTGAAGATTGCAATGTCGCGGTTCCAGGAAAAGGCTTGAAAAAAGTCAAGAAAAAAAACGGAACAACGGGACTATTTTTTGAGCGAGTGATTTTTCAAAAAAGTTTCAGCACTTATTCGAAAGCTCTAATCTTCTAGTTTCTAATTAGCCTTAGACATCTGCAAAAAGTTGATTATGAAGAAAGTTATGAATGTTTGAATGTCGAAAACTCGCGTGTGCACAAAAACGGATTTTTTTAAATATTGAACATCCGCAACATTTCAAATGCTTTTTTGAAAGAAAACTATTTGAATTTTTAAAATTTTGGTGTCCGGTTCCATGAGAGCGCCGACGAACGAAGATATAAGTTTCAAATAAGGACGTAAATTACTACTGCATATCCAGTTTTCCGGCTTATACAAAAAGGAGAAGGAAAAGGAGAAACGGGAACCAAGACTCGAGGGATCGAGAAAATGAAAACCAAGCCTCACTTCTGCCTGATTCGAACTCCAACCTACCCATGATCGAGCTTTAAATGAAACAATGATCTCTTTCGTTCGAAAATTCGGAAGTTTTTCGATTTCCTCCATGAAATGGAGGATAAAATATGGCGTGTGAAGAAAAATATTGTGTTATTTTCGGGATTTCTTCAGGAATAAAGAGAAGAAGCCATGTACACACTTCAACTTTATTGGACAAAGACGTTGATACACACAGAAATACACCGTAACACTAAAAAACACACATGTCCAATAGGGGGGGTCGCACTGACACCCCTTGAAATGGAGGGGGTCGCAAAAAATTTGGAATTTGCGCAACGCAGGGTTGACCCTGGGAGCGGGAGGAGGTATATCGAATCTGCTGGGCAGGGTCAGAGAGAGTAGAGTGCCAAGCTTTCATGCAGACAGCCCCTCTTATTGTTAGACCAAAGGTGAGAGTGCAACGCCTGCGATGGTATGGGCATGTGCTAAGGAGGCCACAGGATCATCCGATAAGAAATGGACTTCGAAGTGCAAGGCAAGCGACCGCGAGGAGCCCCAAAGAAGAGGTGGAGAGACGTGATCAAGAAGGACCTAAGTGAAGTCATGGCCACAGCAGAAGATGCCCTGGACAGAGCGAAAGTGGCGACGACTGACAAAGACAGCGGACCCTGCGACTGCGCGGGACTAACGCTAGGGAGAAGAAGAAGAACGTCATTGGTCGACTGCACCCCTCAGCATACTGACAGTGTTGTTGACACCAAATCTTAAGCCCTTTTACGAAATGTTCAACGACGTCATAAAACTGCAACACCCTTCGGCCGTCGTGATCACTACCTTTGACAGCAGCTTCTTACTGTGTTCAAGCCTGCTCTGCCTTTGAAGAAAACGGAGAAGGGTTGAGATGCAAGACCACTCAGAAAAGGCTCAATCTAGCAACTTCGACTGATGCGCTATTGTATCGGCGGGATCCGGTAACATTAAAGTCTTAATTGTTAGATGTGAAGATCAAGCGACTAGCCGATAGAGGCTAGTCGACCTAGTAGTAAGAATTCGGTGCAACGAATGCGATCAGTTCGTAGCGCAAACGCAGAATCGGTGCTATTTCGGGGCGCAACAAGACAGCTAGGATTTTGCGATTTGCACCTGCATACTCGAAACATCGATGCGCACTCACCGTGGTTGAGGCTGTGGTGTCTGCGTCTCTCTAATCCTCTGTACTCCGTCGTTTCCTTGTATGCTTCCTCGCTTTGACGTCCAATGCCTTCTAGACGGTCTATCCCTTGAAGTTTCTAGGACGCGTCCACTGCCATCGTTTTTTTTTTGAAACCGTCTTCACCTCTAGAATAATTCCGCTATCTTTGATGGCTACACTATTTCCTGGATCCCATGATGTGTGACGTACACAAACAGCTTCGGAACGTGAAAAATACCAAACAAGCGGAACATGAGCATTAAAAATTTATGGACGATGTGTGATATGAAAATAACAATGCATGATTGACACAACCAACTCCACGTTATTGTATGTAAAGTCGTATCAGCTCGTTTGTGCTGGCAGGGAGGCCTGTGACAGGACATCTGAATCACAGAAAATTTACTTTTCACATAACAGCTTAAAACTAATGCGGGATGATTTGAAACATGAGTCATAGAGAGCAGGTTAATTTTTTGTTGCTTTTGTCGGCTTTTCACAAGGTCACCGTGCGTGTGCAACTGGAAACACCATTGAAACACCTCCATAGCAAAGCTGGTCTCTCACAAGGAAGTAACTGAACTTCATCGCCAAGGGATCTTAAAGCTTACATTACAAAGAATGGAACTAACGTTTTGAAGCTTTTCACATGCCGCTCAATGCACGTGAAGCAGAACACGTAACCAGAAACCGATAACGCTGTATCATTTCTTCGTCTTTGTAGGCATAGGGGACATTTGTTTGTATCAAGCAGTTGGACGCTGGATTCTGTCAAAAGCTGAAAGCGCCACAATGATGTCGACGATCAGTACTCGAAAATCATCATAATACCTTGTGTGGAGCAGGAGGTATTTGACCAAACGCATGTTTCTTGGTGAGTTGTGAGCCGAGATCACTATTATACACAAAATCGATGAACTGAACGAAGAACAGTCCATATCCGAACAATCGGGAGAAAACTCCAGGAAGGGCAAGGAAGTAACGCCACACACGATTGAGAATCCTGAAATGTAGCCGAATACAATTTGACTAGACGTGGTTTGGGTAACAAGCAGATAGGTTGCAAAGGCACTTCCGAAGCGGGGTATACCTTGTTTCCCAAGACAACTTTTCGCAATTAAGGACTTAAAGGCAGGAGTTAGGATAAACTGCTCTCCCATTGGGAATAAAATAGGGCTGCTAAGATGCAATGGTGAAAAAAAACCAAGGAAAACGGCCTGAAATTCAAAAGAAGGTACTCTGGTTTTTCCCGACTGGTTTCCTCACTGAGCGACATTCATCGGTGCAGACATCATCAACGTGATTGTTCTGATATGCTGAAGTGTCTAGTGTTGGCAACGAGGAAGCAGCAGTAGCGATAGCCAGTCGGTGGGCAAACAGAGGGACGAGGCGTCCAGAGAGGTGGAACCCTGATAGGCCGTCACGGGTGATTTATTCGCCAACGGAAGCATACGTTTCTTTCTATCGAGGGCGTGGAATCCCGGTGCGGTAGGTAATTTATCCGTCCCTTGAAAGGCAAAGTTCGGGCTCAGACCCACTTAATGAGCCTTTACTGTGGCTAGAAGCGCTAGGTACGCAAGTGTAGAGGTCGCGTCACTTCCCTACTTCGAAAAGCATTTAGACGCTAGAACTTTAAGAACTTTGACACGCTTCCTCTTTAAGAACGCAAGGGACGGAATGCTAGGCCATGAAAAATCCATATCCCTTAGTTTTCAGATATCGTTGCGAAGAACAGAGTTGCCGGGAATATAACTTTTGGAGGGGTGGTGCTCGCACAAGCTACAAAATGTACCAGGGAGGGGAACAAGCATGCCACGTTATTTGAGAGCCCCCAACCTAAGAAGGATGGTAGAGAAAATTCTGCGCTTCGTACTTCCACAAAATAGTGTAAATTCAAATGAACAGCTGATCGATTAACAAAGCGAGTTGAAGGGTGCAGATATGGTAAGGTCGACAGATCAAAAATAGAATTAGCGAAGCGTGCAAGGGAGGTGGGGGGGGGGGGGCATTTAGAAGCAATAGTGCGGCTAACTGGGCTACATGGTCACGGTAAGGAGCAATGCATATGCACTAAACCTTATTCAATACCCACGTATACAATAGGGGAATCAGTGGATTTGAAATAGCGCAGAATAAGGTAAAGGGTACTGGGGTTTTTCATCGTGACCATCACAGAACTGGTAAAAATTGGACGTACTGAAAATTTGCGAATGTGAATATGATAAGCGAGTATAGAAATAAAATCGTGTGTAAAGCTGACCCTGATGACTGGAGATGCATTGGGATGTTGTCGAACAAGTCCATATCCTGCTGTGTGAGCTTCTCAAGCCGAACGCCGGCCATCAGGAGGAACGGAGAGTGCACTGTTGATCGGTTCAATATGTACCTGAATAGTGATGAATGAATATTCAATCACACCTTTCATAACTCCTGTCTCTAGATTAGTAACTAAAAAGTAGTCAATGGTTCTACTTGTTCACCAAGTTGAACTGACGCGTGCGTTACGTACAAGGTCAATCGTCGCGTTGGACTCACTTCAAGAACTTTACGACCCCTGCCCTCTTAGAGAGTCTCGATACGACCCCCCCCCCCTCCTCCAGCACTTATTATGTACTGTACACTGCCAAGGGAAAGGCTACATCACGGAAAATAAGTGCAATCTATAAAAAAAAACACAAAGCACTTAGCTTGAATTAAAACACAAGTAGCAGAACATGACTCCAGTAGTTTACTGATAAGCACAAAATCGCAAAATGAACTGCCTTCATTAGTTGCTGAACAGGATTGGCCTATAGTTTAAATGGCGCTCTGCGCGGGAAAGATAGTAAGCTTCATGACTTGGCTTTCAAAATCGCAAATATCCCATTACGATACAAAAGCCCGTCTCAAAATGGAAATAGTCATAGTAAGTTTGAATTGCGAACGAGCGCATGGCGCAGACGTAAGCAAACCAGCCCTTTTGGCGCTTCGGCTGGGACCGTATGCTGAATGTTGGGGAGGGGATGGAGTCCCCGACGGTGGACGGACCACTTCAACTCGGTCCTTAGAACCGCCACAATTTGGTGCTTACCTCAGAACTAAGCCTTAAAGAGAGGACGGGTCCGTCCCCTCTCCAAGGCTTAGTCCTGGGGTGAGCAAACCAGCCCTTCTGGCGGAGCTGCTGGACCAGCTGCACCACTTGCGTCAGTACTCTCCTATCGTACCAACCGAGTTGAAGTAAACCGTCGACCGTTGGGGACCCCATCCCCTCCCCAACATTCAGCATACGGTCCCAGCCGAAACGCCAAAAGGGCTGGTTTGCTTACCTCCATTGCGCACCTCAGAGCACGGGAGCGTTGCGTTCGCATTAGCGCGCGCAATCTTCCTCTCGGCTCAGCCCAGATAGACCGGCGGGCCACTAGTTTTCAAATGAGTAGAATTCTGTCCATTGTTCATTGTTGATAGTTTTCAAAACGCCATGTAGATTTGTAATTTGCTAGTATCAGAGAAATACCATGTTGGTGCAGCATCTCAAAACTCTGTCAGTTATGGGGTAGAGAATTAGAATTCACAGAAATGCGCACTTCTTCATTTGAAAGGTTGTAATTTTTCAAATAAGAAAGTGTGAGAAGTGGTAAGAAAATTTTGAAAATCTAGATTGTTTTCTTTCTAAAAAGCTTTTGTAAATTTTCATTCTTCAAAAATCGCCCCGTTGGACCGTTTTTTTCCACAACCGGGTTTTTTGGCTTTCAATGACTATAACTTTCTTCAGAATTCAACCTTTTGCAATTATTGTCCCCCTGGGATAAACTAGAAGGTTAGAGCTTTCTAACGAATACTTGAACTTTTTCAAAATTGATGGAGTCAAAAAATCGCCCCGTTGGACCGTTTTGGGGAAATCGCGGACCGATTTTTGGCAGAGCGCTGGTTTTTTGGCTTTGAACTGTTATAACTTATTCACATCCAACCTCTTTGCAATTTTTGTCCCTCCTGGAGAAAACTAGAAGGTTATTAAGTTATCGCAAGGAAAACAGATTTCGTTTTCAAAATGACTCGTTCAGAAAAGTCCCTAAAGCGTTTTTTTTTTCATGAATTTTCGGAGCTACTCTCCTGAAAACACGAGTTTTCAACACTCAAACACTCACAGCTCTCTTCAAACTCAATTTTATGGGAATAATGATACCGTGACATCGCACAAGCTTTGTGCTTCATAACAGATACTAAACCTTTTCAGGAAGTTGCCGACAGGCAGGCAAATATTTTTTCCAAACTTTTCTTGTAACCCTTTAGCAGTCAATCTACCCAAGTGGTCACTCTTTTACTAACTTAGACCAAGTTGAAGATATTGGTTCTCGTGCTATTTTCTTCTGTGCCATACAGGTTGTTATGGTGGAACACGTTTATTGGTCAACGTTTCGACAATCGTCGTCTTCAGGACCTGAAACTGGTTCGAAGTCCTAGCTCTGTAGCTCACCCGGTAAAGCGCCTAATCTTGCTGAGTTCTAACGCGAAACAATACAAAATAGAACGATCCAGCGAACGAACTAACCTGTGTGGATCCACCAGTTTCTAGCAGCCTCCTCGTGTTAGTGAGCAAATAAAATGAGACACCATGGACAGTCAGCGTCCTACGTGTCGTATGTGGTGATCTCATAGTCCACATAAAGGAATGAAAGGCAAGAATTCATTGGTAATGGCCATGCATTCATTTCGGTTGTTCAGTCTTGGATTTTTCACGCGGATATAAAACGCCTCTAACATTTTTCTAGCACCGATGTCGTTTCATAGGCTAGAATTTTGCATTTGATTTCAAAATCATTACCCTGATGTTCTTCTACTCGGTGCTTGCCAAGTGGAGTAAGAAGATTTCCGCGCCTTTTTCCTGCCATATGTTCTTTAACACGTACGCCCAACATCCTGCCCGTCTCTCCAATATAAAGTTCGTCACAGGTTGAACATTGAAGTTTGGTATACTATCCCTCGTTTCGCACAGTCTCCTTGCCTTCCATATGGGCAAACAACGCAGTTATCCGTTGTGCACGCGCGGTCATAGAGTCTATTGCGGATTAGCCGACGTTTGATATTGTCTCCTGGTATATTAATCAAAACTACGTCATCAGCTAGGTCCGCTCGTGCAATGCACTGTCGAATAGCCATGCTAATTCTATCCGATATGAAAGGCAGTTGGAGGTGCGCCATCTCCTCGCGACTTCTCGCGGAATGCCCTCGTGAACCTTCGCGATTTCTCGCGGGATTTCTCTGTGAGCCTGATTCTTCGTTCCACGTTCCATAGCCATTCGCTCTTGCGATCTCGGAAGCTAGCCTACGTGACTCATCTCGCTCCACGTCGCCTGTGCAGACTCCAATCGCTGTTCTGTACATGTTTCGAACAACCGCACATTTTACACAGCTTTGGGGTGTGCAGACTTTGCATGGAGTAGGATGTTCTTTGAGCTGCTTTTTCCGGTACCACTTCACACTATACGTACCATTCGAGATTTTTATCTGTGTGTTCAAGTAAGGTAGCCAACCATTGTGTGGAGCTTCTCTTGTGAACTTTATGTACTGTGATTGTTGATTGAGGATGCTGAATAATTCATCCATTTCAAATTGTGTTGAAGTAATTACGCAGCAATCATCAATATATCGACAATACATAATAGGCATGCGTGCTATCACCGGTTGTTCTATTCTACCCATAAAGCAGATAGCTAGAACCGGTGCTAGACGCTGCCCCATTGCAAGCCCCCGATTTTGAGAGAAGTACTGTCCACACCACTTGAAAATATTACAGTTCAGGCATTCCTTTATCAGGGTCATAATATGCACCTTGCTCAATCCGAACGTCACAATTTCTGCCCCATGCTCATCTAACATTTCAGAGAGCGCTTGCAAGCTTCACTATTGTTCACGTTCGTATAAAGCGCAGTTACATCGAAATGACTCTGCCACACAGTTTTCTTGAAATCTACAGGAACGTAGACGATCAAGAAAATCTCTGGTGTTAGGTAAGTGTGAGGGTACATATCGGATGAGTTGACCAACAATTTTAACAAGAAACCATGAAATGCGGTCTGTTGGTCCTCCCACACAGCTGATGATAGGTCGTATTTTGTAATCGCTAGCATTAACCGAGTGCTCGTCTCCGTCCGACAGCTTGTGTGTTTTGATCAGGCTATAAAACACGGGGCACGAAGGAGTATCCAACTTCAATCTTCTGATCAATCCTTCGGCTAATCCTGCTGACTTCCCAATTGATATCTCGTAACGCTTTCTCTGTAGTGCAACTATAAATGTGACGTGTCGTTTAGATGGAGCTCAGTAATTTCTCGATCTAGTATACGAGGGCAGACTACGAACTCCCCTCCTTTGTAAGCCGATTTCTGTATACGTGGCCAACATACGAAATCCGCCTCTCTGTAAGCGACAAAGGAGGGGAGTTCGTAGTCTGCCCTCGTATACTAGATCGAGAAATTACTGAGCTCCATCTGAACGACACGTCCATTTATAGTCGCACTACAGAGAAAGCGCGTGATATCCAATTGGGAAGTCAGCAGGATTAGCCGAAGGATTGATTTACAATTAATAAAAAGATTGAAGTTGGATACTCCTTCGTGCCCCGTGTTTTATAGCCTGATCAAAACACACAAGCTGTCGGATGGAGACGAGCACTCGGTTAATGCTAGCGATTACAAAATACGACCTATCATCAGCTGTGTGGGAGGACCAACAGACCGCATTTCATGGTTTCTTGTTAAAATTGTTGGTCAACTCATCCGATATGTACCCTCACACTTACCTAACACCAGAGATTTTCTTGATCGTCTACGTCTGTAGATTTCAAGAAAACTGTGTGGCAGAGTCATTTGATGTAACTGCGCTTTATACGAACGTGAACAATAGTGAAGCCTTACAAGCGCTCTCTGAAATGTTAGATGAGCATGGTGCAGAAATTGTGAACGTTCGGATTGAGCAAGGTGCACATTATGACCCTGATAAAGGAATGCCTGAACTGTAACATTTTCAAGTGGTGTGGACAGTACTTCTCTCAAAATCGGGGGCTTGCAATGGGGCAGCGTCTAGCACCGGTTCTAGCTATCTGCTTTATGGGTAGAATAGAACAACCGGTGATAGCACGCATGCCTATTATGTATTGTCGATATATTGATGATTGCTGCGTAATTACTTCAACACAATTTGAAATGGATGAATTATTCAGCATCCTCAATCAACAATCACAGTACATAAAGTTCACAAGAGAAGCTCCACACAATGGTTGGCTACCTTACTTGAACACACAGATAAAAATCTCGAATGGTACGTATAGTGTGAAGTGGTACCGGAAAAGCAGCTCAAAGAACATCCTACTCCATGCAAAGTCTGCACACCCCAGAGCTGTAAAATGTGCGGTTGTTCGAAACATGTACAGAACAGCGTTGGAGTCTGTACAGGCGACGTGGAGCGAGATGAGTCACGTAGGCTAGCTTCCGAGATTGCAAGAGCGAATGGTTATGGAACGAGGAACGAAGAATCAGGCTCACAGAGAAATCCCGCGAGAAATCGCGAAGGTTCACGAGGGCATTCCGCGAGAAGTCGCGAGGAGATGGCGCACCTCCAATTGCCTTTCATATCGGATAGAATTAGCATGGCTATACGGCAGTGCATTGCACGAGCGGACCTAGCTGATGACGTAGTTTTGATTAATATACCAGGAGACAATATCAAACGTCAGCTAATCCGCAATAGACTCTATGACCGCGCGTGCACCACGGATAACTGCGTTGTTTGCCCATATGGAAGGCAAGGAGACTGTGCGAAACGAGGGATAGTATACCAACTTCAATGTTCAACCTGTGACGAACTTTATATTGGAGAGACGGGCAGGATGTTAGGCGTACGTGTTAAAGAACATATGGCTGGGAAAAAGGCGCGGAAATCTTCTTACTCCTCTTGGCAAGCACCGAGCAGAAGAACATCAGGGTAGTGATTTTGAAATAAAATGCAAAATTCTAGCTCATGAAAGCGACATCGGTGCTAGAAAAATGTTAGAGGCGCTATATATCCGCGTTAAAAATCCGAGACTGAACAACCGGAATGAATGCATGGCCATTACCAATGAATTCTTGCCTTTCATTCCTTTATGTGGACTATAAGATCACCACATACGACACGTAGGACGCTGACTGTCCAATAGTGTCTCATTTTATTCGCTCACTGACACGAGGAGGCTGCTAGAAACTGGTGGATCCACAACAGGTTAGTTCGTTCGCTGGTCTCGTCTATTTTGTATTGTTTCGAGTTGGAACTCAGCAAGATTAGGCGCTTTACCGGGTGAGCTACAGAGCTAGGACTTCGAACCAGTTTCAGGTCCTGAAGACGACGATTTGTCGAAACGTTGACCAATAAACGTGTTCCACCGTAACAACCTGTTTGGCACAGAAGAAAACAGCACAATATTCAAAATGCCAAGGTTCCAGGAAAACCGAACATGGAGTTTATATTGGTTCTCCTTTAAAGCGATATTTTTATGCATGATCAGTCAAATATGCTTATAATATAAATACTTCTGCAGTAGACTCTTCTGCTCTAGGTGCGCCATGCACTCGTTTGTGGTTAACGGTTCGCTCAGCACTCGAAAGTTATACCCCTCACCTACTGCCGCAATAACAAATGTCTTGGTTGTAATCGTTTAATGCTATGAGCCTGTGCCTAGGAGTTTATTCACATATGTGTTAGATTCCGTCATTCCGCGCATTACGACGTTGACTTATACGAATATGACTCCCTCTTTCGACGACGAAATACGAACCTCGCCCAAATGGACTTGGTCCAACGGACCCTGACTTTGTCCCCCAGATGGTGTGTGGACATCCCTAAAGGAGAGTTCTGTGCAATCAGCTGTCCACAGAGTTCGTCACAGGTCCCTCTCCAAAGGCACTCGCTAAGAGTGCACGACTACAGATAGTTGGTTCTGCTTCACTACGTTGGCTAAGGTATTTTAATACGAATATGTATGTTGCAAGCGCTCACCCCAAGTGAAGTATAGTCGTTGCAAGTGTCAGCAGCCTTTTCACCCATGGCCAAACTGTGAGGAAAATCTTTGCCAGTCTTAATCGCAGATCCTGAAAAGTCATAATCAATGCGCCTTTAGAAGAATGTCATGATCAATAAAAAATACGTAGACGATGCTGGGAGAAAAAAAAAGGATTGGAAATTACGCAAAAGAAGACAGAACTGATATTGATTTTCAATATGCATTGCATTTGCTGACGATAAAATGAAGATAGAAATGATCAAAACGATGCCTTTAATGCCACCCATTACATCACAGTTCATTATGCAGTCAGTTTGACCTCTTAGTCGAACGCTTCCTACACTTGCTGAAGTAATGGAAGCTCACACATATGTCGTTCCTAGACTGGATATTGCGCGTTCTCATTGGGGAATGTCCTAATCGTCTAGCACTCCGCTTTTGAAGGAACCTTCCACGGGAAAGCTGTTTGGTTTCTCGCATGAATGTGTTGGGTGTGGCCCCAGACAACCATGTGCAAAGTCTGAGCGAAAGAAATGTCCCGCATAGGAGGCAGCTTCTGAAAAAGCTCTTCTGCAGGACTGCATCTGCCACAGTGGGCGGGACCACAAGAGCTGCTGTGTCGATGTACATGGGTACTGAGGATTCACGTGCAAGTTCTGGTAAGGGTTCCACGTAAACCCTCGTTCAATGTTGGACGCGTTCCAAGCACATTTGTCGTGTTAGGCTCCCCATTCGCCAGCAATGGTGTGATGTTTTTACGGCGGAATTCAGTTGTCTTATATTCCATGGTTATTTTAAATTAGTATCGAAGACCCGAACTAGTATTTCGTTCTTTTTACTATACTCATGAAGCAAAGGGGCCAAAGCATCAATTTCTGGTGTGAATAGAAGCAAAGCTATTCCGTGGACGGTTCTTTCAAATCAAGGAACAGGAGTTTGATCTTACTTGCTATACGTATGCAGCCAATGACATCTCCTAATATTCTTAACAGAGACTGACAATTCAAAGCAAAGCTAGAGGATATAGCATTCAGAGTTAATCGGTCCGTTCTTGTAACGTACCACGCATCCTACCTCCACTAAGGATTGTAGTGATATTTGAATGTGATTTGGCCTCTACAATGAAATGCGTGGGCAGCCGGTGTGCAAGTCAGCATTTTTATCATCTCGTAGAATATACACTGCGACGCATAATCTTAGTTCCACCTACAAACTTCCCAAAAACTAGAAGTTGGAGATGTTTTCGAAAAGGGTTCTATAGACAAATTGTGACACATGCAAATGCGAATCTGATATTATCACGCGGAAATCCAGTGAAAAAGCAAAAAATTTTTATCCTCATTTTTTCGAAAATACCCGACTGCCTATGACGCAAAATCATAGTTCCACCACATGTTTCTCTGCTGCATTTTGCTTTTACCCAATCAAATTTTGAAATTATTACCCACTCAAGTCCCTTAGCTTATAGCAAAGGCAAAACCGCTGTCGAACTTCCGTAAAAGGAAAACCCTAGCAAAAGAGACGCAGGCAGTTGTTGAAGTGTCAGCTCACGCTAGAATTTGTCGGGGTGGCTTCATAACGAACAAGTTTCTCAAGGATGCTACAGGATATGATTCTGGGAAGAACCCTGATTACTATCCGACCGAGATAAGCGCCGTATCGTGAGAAAATAATACGACTTTATCCAGAATCACGAAAATCAAAACTTTTTTTTTTTTTTTTTTTTTTTTTTTTTTTTCTTTTTTTTTTTTTTTTTTTTTTTTTTTTTTTTTTTTTTTTTTTTCCAAAAGAGTTAAGTGGACTCATGGAGCAGTTTTCAAGTGTTTACAACGAGCACCTCGTGACAGTCCATGTCTGGAGGATAAGAAATACGCTTTCAGAAAAGAAATCAGAGAAGAAAACGAGCCATTTTTCTCAAAAAGTTTTGCTAAGTAGAGCGAAGTGAGGACACTTTTTTATCTGTGATATTTTGGAACCTCTGACCATCCTCCTGATCATTTTCTTCTCCATACATGTGTGCTACGAAGTAGAAAACCGATCTGAGAAAGAAAAACGTTAAGAGAAAGAAAGACGCAAATCAAAAGTCGCAAATGAAAGAATGCCACCGCTTCACTCGAACTGGCTGAGCTTTCAAAGAAAAATGGCTCGTTTCTCTCTGATTTCTTCTCACTGAAAGCGTATTTCTTATCCTCCAGACATGGACTGTCACGAGCGTGTTGTAAAACACGTGAAACTGCTTCCATTGAGACACTAACTTTTGAAGAAGTTTTGATTTCCGTACCCGTCTGGATAAAGTCGTATTATTTTCTCACGATACGGCGCTTATCTCGGTCGGATAGTAATCAGGGTTCTTCCCAGAATCATATCCTGTAGCATCCTTGAGAAACTTGTTCGTTATGAAGCCACCCCGACAAATTCTAGCGTGAGCTGACACTTCAACAACTGCTGCGTCTCTTTTGCTAGGGTTTTCCTTTTACGGAAGTTCGACAGCGGTTTTGCCTTTGCTATAAGCTAAGGGACTTGAGTGGGTAATAATTTCAAAATTTGATTGGGTAAAAGCAAAATGCAGCAGAGAAACATGTGGTGGAACTATGATTTTGCGTCATAGGCAAGTCGGGTATTTTCGAAAAAATGAGGATAAAAAAAATTTTTGCTTTTCTCAAACTGGATTTCCGTGATAATATTCAGATTCGCATTTGCATGTGTCACAATTTGTCTGTAGAGCCCTTTTCGAAAACATCTCCAAATTCTAGTTTTTGGGAAATTTGTAGGTGGAACTAAGATTATGCGTCGCAGTGTACTTACAAACATAGGCGAGGCCAAATGAGTAGTAGAGGTTTGCCGCTATGCAAGACTCGGTCGCGATTTGCCTTACGGATCTCGCAAATGGGTATGGGTGCCACTCCTCCCTAGCTCACTATTGTCTGTACCATCCTCTCTAACTCACTGTGGGCCCGTGCACATAAGCAGGTAAAGCAAAAAAGGTAAAAGCAAGGTAAATTCAAAGCTCTTATATTATAGTAATGAGTCAGTAACGAAATTCGTACTCTTGTCGCTATTGGGGCATACCGCATCCGTTCGGTCCAGTCTGCATGCCATTTATCAAATTTATCCTCGAAACGTACGGCCACAGTACCTTTAATATCCAAGACTTTCTCATCTATACTTTTTTTTCTGAACTGAATCGCAGATACTAAAAGAGATGTAGGAATTTTCTAAAAATGGGTAAACGTACTAGTAACATCAGATTGCGAACACGCGACCTGAAGTCACTTGGTGACTTTCCTGTTGCCAGATAAACTCGCTTCATGCCATAAAAGTTTTCCGAAAAAGATGCACCTAAATACATCTATCCAAGTTAAAGATAACTTGAAGGGCAAGAATCAAGTTCAATTTGATGCGCTTATCTAACTCGATTATGAAAGAAGGGATGCGAAGTGGACTACAAATGGAGGAAAAAAGAAAAGAAAATGGTCAAAGCAGTAAATTACGAGCCTTTTTGCTCCCCCTTATGCTGCGAAAGACCGTCTCACAAGGCGAGGCGGGGAGATGAGACACAATGTGAGTGGCGGAAAAGGGAAAGAAGTCCGGGTAGAGGGAGCATAGCAGGCAACTTGCGACGCAGACAAGATGTTAAATGGTGGGCGGACCCCGATAGTTCGGTGGGATTTGATCACCCTAATAGTTTTGATGGGATCTTATTACCTTGCTAGTTTTGGTGGGTTCAAGCTGATATTTAGTGTTGGTGGATGTAATCAAAGCCCTCAGCGCCTGGCGTTAGTTACGCAATTCCATGTGCGAAGTGACGCAATCTTTGCGGTGGCTCACCACACACCTCTATCTAATGGAGCGAGTACTTCAGTGAGGCTCCCGGAGCTTGCCCTTGAGGTTCCCACATCACTTATGAACCATTCTGGACATGTTTCTTTAACGCTCGTTCACTGACCAAGATTGAGCTAAGTTCGCGCACTGCAGCAGCTACCTATCTATTTTGACGTTCCCCAAATAATTTTCAGCTTGCAGCAATAGTAAAATTGCGAAACGCAACGGCAGAATCCAGCGAGTCCCGGTGCACTGACTAGTCTCCGATGCCAAGTATCACAACGGTACAAGCGTTTTTTTTTTTCAGATGATTATAATTTGATGAAAATCAACCAGGTGAGCTTCGAGCAATGGCTATAGGGTGAGTGGTTTTACTGAACAAGTAAAAGAGATGCGCACCCTGCATCAAGCATGCAAGCGTTTGACTCATCCATGAGAGAACAAATTCCGTTTTTTTCATCTGTTGGATAAGAGGTGGATCAATGCAATGTTCGGGCGTTGAACTCGAATCCAACGTCGCTTAGAATGAGGTATCAGCATAAAAAAATCGAAAATATCGCCTTGCTGAGAAGAGAGAATATTGCCTTGCTGAGAGCATTCCGAAAATTTTTTTCAGGAGGAGAGAATGTTCGCGTCATCCAACCCACCGCACCTTAAAGTCATTGAACAAACAATGCAAAAAGCTTTTATTCTAAATTTCAATTTCACTGAGAGAGTCTACTTAGCCGTCATATCCCATGATAATTAGGGCCTCAGGTGAAGTGAAGCGAAGCAAGCGCGGAA